AAAAATAAATGAAACTGCTTGGGTGTTTTGTAATCGACAGGATTGTTAGAGTCACAAAGACTTGACTCACGTATCCCAACTGTATTATTTATATTGGAGTTAATTTGAGGCAATATTTTTTGCGCAATCCGCGCAATGAAAATAACATTCCCTTTTAAAAACTCATGGCTCGGGAATTCTCACATTTTTTTCAGGTTTAATAACTGTTTTGTGAAAGCACTCAGCGCGGGAGGGGGGGGGGGGGATTGTCTCGGTAGTGATTGATACTATGAAACAATTTCAAGATATATTTCTGTTGGTATTTTTCGGTGAAGTTCTTGGTTCAGAAAATGTTGAATGTTTTTTGTGTTTTCTTTTCCACTTTTATTTTGATACTTATTTTCTATGTCGAGAAATATGTTGGCAGGGAGTACTCCTAGACGAAAATGTTAGGAATATTTTTTGTTGGAAATTTTGTGATCTACAAAAATGGTTTTATGATATTTTTCGATACGTGCATTAGATTAGGAGATATTTGCAAAATAAGGAGAATGAATTTTTCCAATTGCATCGTTTCACTCCGAAAACTCGTTTGCTAATTCTAATTCTATCTTGATAACTGCTGATCCCGTGAGGAAATGTCGCAGAATGTATTTTTCTTGAAAAGTTCCTGATCTACAGAAAAGGCGGTTGACATTTTCCCCTGAAACCACTAGTTTCCTAGATAAATTCGTTTATGGAATCGATTAAATTCTCGAAACTTTTATCAAGTGACAAAGCCTTTTCCAAATTATCTTTAGAACAATTGTTTTCAGAGAAAAACATGACAAGACTTCTTCTCTGGAGATTGTCTCGATAATGATTATATTTCTTTTTACATTTTTCGGTGAATTTTTTAGTTTATTGAAAATATTTAATGATTTTTACGATTTTATTTTGGTTTTCCATTTTTATTTCGATACGTATTTTTTAACTCTTTAAATATGTCGGCAGGGATTGCTCCTAGAAGAAAATATCATAAAACATTTTTTGTTGAAAGTTTTGTGATCTACAAAAATGATTTTTTGACATTTTTCGATACATCCATTAGTTTAGGAGATACTCGCTATATAAGGAGAATGAATTTTTCCAATTGCATTGTTTCACTCCAAAAACTCGTTTTCTAATTCTAATTCAATCTCGATAACACCTGATCCCGCGAGGAAATGTCACAGAATCTAGTTTTCTTGAAAAGTTCCTGATCTACAAAAAAGGCGGTTGACATTTTCCCCTGAAACCACTCATTTCCTAGATAAATTCGTCCATGGAATCGATTAAATTCTCTAAACTCTTCTCAATCGAAAATGCCTTTTCCAAATTATCTCTAGACCAATTGCTCATAGACAAAAACGCCAAAGGACTTTTTTCTCGCAAATTTCCTGCCCTACAAAAAAGGTTCAATGACATTTTTCTCTAGAACCCCTCGTTCTCGAGCTAAATTCATTTTTACAAGGCGGTATTTGATTCCTCAGGTTTCACCACTTCCCAAAAACTAATTTGCTCCTTCCTACATCAAAGGTCTGGAATTCTTCATGTGCTCCACACATCCTACCCATGCGTAATCCTCGCCTTTCTAAAAACCCTCGAAATTATAGATGTTCAAGAAGACCGGTCATGGGGAACGCCGAGAATCAGTCAATCGGAAACTACACCTCGGTCACGTACCACGCGACTTCCTTTCCGATCGAGCAAGATCTCCCGATATGCAGTTGAAGGAGGTCTCAGATATCCGGAAATCGTATCCTTTACCACCTTGCAAGACCATGCAAACACACCCAAGTACCCAACACTTGCAATTTGAATTTTCGCAACAGTTTCATTCGACATTCCCGCGAAGAATCGAACGCATTTGTAAAAAAAATTCCTTGTGACTCTTATCCTGATCCTTTCGACCCTTATTCAGACCCTCATGACCATTGTTTTGACCCTTGTGACCCTTAATTGTGGAGTCTCAATTTTGAGTACCAAATTTTTATCACCAGAAGTCGATTTGGATTTTTATAATATAGAGAGATAAAAAAATGGAAAGAATTGAAACAGATTTCAAATGAAAACTAAAATAAGTGACATAACAAAAAAATATAGAAAATATATGAAAAAATGGATGATAGAAACCCAATAATAAATACGAGGAAATTAACTAATTTAATTAATATAAACCCGAAATAATGGAAATACTTTCCTCCACTGAATGAAATATCAATGAAATTTTTCTACTCTCGATCACTTGCAATAATAATGTTGGTCACATATTCATCCTTCATTCCTACGCATTTCCATAAAAAGACTTCGAAATTCTCCAACCGCACACCCTAAACTTGTGTGACCTCGAAAAAATGAATGACTTGTTCCTGTTTCCCACCGTCACCTCAATCATCCACCAATTTTTTCTCCCGGAGTCATTAATCAAACGCGGATGATTCATAATTCATAATTTAACTTCCAAGTTATGCGGGAAAATCCAGGGGTCTTCCGGCGATGAGTGAAAGGTGTCGAAATAATGGAGGGAAACCAGGAGTTGGGTTAAATCGCTGGGGAAATCTGCTGCACTGATTTACATACTCAAGCGGATAGAAACGGTTATCGAGGAGAGTATTCTAGGGCAGTGGAAATATCTGATGAATGACAGACATATTTCTGACCTTCTTCGACAGTCGAGGGGATCATCGAGGGGCCAACGAGAGGAAATATTCCAAATTGAAGTTCTTCCACAGTTTCATCCTCGAGTTCCTCAAATAACTCGAGAACTAATAGTTTTAGGAGAAAATGTCTCTCGACCTTTTTTGTAGCTCAGGAAATTTCCGATTAAAAACGTTTTCTCTGATTTTCTCCTAAAATTGATAATTACCGAGATAAATGGGGAATCGAGAAGGCGAGATTTTTAAAATCGAAGTATTTACCGTTATTCAACGCTACAAGTGCGTGAATATCTCTAAAACGATTTATTCTGTGAGAAAATATTGAGATTTTTTTTAAGCCGGCGAAATTTCCCTCGAAAACAGACATTTTTCTGCGTCATATAGTGCTATAAAATGAATTTTCTATTCATTAGAGACGATCAACGAGAGGAAATATTCCAAATTTAAGTTCTTCCACATTGTCATCCTGGATTTCCTCAAATAACTCGAGAACTAATAGTTTTAGGAGAAAATGTCTCTCGACCTTTTTTGTAGCTGAGGAAATTTCCGACAAAAAAAGTATTCTCTGATTTTCTCCTAAAATTGATAATTACCGAGATAAATGTGGAATCGATAAGACGAGATTATTAAAATCGCAGTATTTACAGTTATTCAATGCTACAAACGCGTGGATATCTCTAAAGCTACCTATTCTATGAAAAAATATTCAGATTTTTTTGAAGCTGACGAAATTCCACTCGAAAATTGACATTTGTTAATCAGAATATGATGATGCGTGATTGTTCTGCGTCACATAATTCTATAAAATGATTATTCTATTCATTAGAAACGTGTCGAAAGGAAAAACTGTTTGTGTATTGGATATTACGACGGCACACATACTTAAGAATCCTCATTATTTCCGCTCCACCCCCAAAACCCTGAACCTCCATCTCTCAATTGCCTTTCATCACTCGCCTGAACACTCGGATGATTCTAATGATGTTGCCTAATAAGTCCTCGCTAATTGTTACGCCGTCGGCATGAAGCGCCCCTCCGACTTCCATCCGAAACCCAACGATTTCTTCCAGCGCACATAAAGAAAACTGTTGTAAATTAACTCCTGAATATTATTTTTCAAAAAAGTCGAGCGATAAACGCGAAAATTTCAGTAAAAGCAATATTTCGAATAAAAATTTCCCAAAGATTTTGTTATTTCACTAGAACTATTCCGTTTTCCACTAGAATTCCAGTAAAAAGAAGATAAATAGAATGCATTGGGAAAGATTTTAAGAGAAGATTAAAATATGTGACATAAAAAAATGTAGAAAACATGAAGAAATGAATAATAGAAAGCCAGTAAGAAATACGAGGAAATCAGCTAATTTAATTAATGTAAACTAAAGTTACGAGAATAAAATGAAATTAAATGAAAATTTTCATTGAATTCCCTAAATTCATCGCAAATTGAATTGAAAACGCGATAATTCTATCAAAAACTCAATATTCTGAATAAAAATTCGCGAAAAATTCCGCTATTTTACTAGAATTATTCCATTTTCCACTAAAATTGTAACAGGCAAATAATGTAAACAGAAAAAATTGAAAAAGAATGTAAAGAAAAATGAAATTACTGACACCAAAAAAATCTGGAAAACGTATGAAGAAATGAATAATAGAAAACTGATAATAAATACGCGGAAATCACCTAATTTAATTAGCATAAACTTTCAATAATATAAATGCATTCCACCACTCACTACCAAATGCCTTCCCCCCCTCAATTTACGAAGAATAAAAGGAAATTAAATGAAAATGTTATTCAGATTCCCAAAATTCATCGCAAATCACGTAAAAATCGCGATAATTCTATCAAAAACTCAATATTCTGAATAAAAATTCCGCTATTTCACTACAGTTATTTCATTTTCCACTAAAATCGCAGTAGGCAAATAATGTAAACAGAAAAAATTAAAACGGAATGTAAAACAAAAAATAATAAGTAAGACAAGAAAAAAATCTAGAAAACTTATGAAATAATAAATAGTACGCGGAAATCACCCAATTTAATTAGCATAAACTTTCAATAATATAAATATATTCGACCCCTCATATCAGGATATTAAATGCCTTCCCCCCAAAACTTCCAAAAACAAAAAGAAATCAACTAAAACTTCCAGTCAGATCCGTCCCCCCTCTCTCCCAAAAAAAAAATTGAAACCTCACATTTTCATCGATTCCTTCTCCATATTATGTATTCCCTGAGCGCAGTTACCTCATTGACATACGCGAGTATCTTATAACGGAACAGAGCCCCCCCAGATATTCCGTCTCCCGACAATCCCAAATGCTCCTCATTCTTACCTGCTGTTACCCCAATATCTCCCCACAATCCAAATCTGAAAGTATTCCCAAGTGTATCAGCGGATCATCGTATTCCTCCTGTCACCTTTCCTCACTTTCAAATATATTCGAAATTTCGTGGCATATGACAGCTATTATTCCAGACGAAAATCCTCACTCACTATTCGTCAACGTAACTCATTCTCAGTTGCACTCGATGAAAAATTATTCTTTCAATTGTTTGCAATAATTTTTCACTGAAATAATTTTTTGCGATCGATCGAGGGCTTTCGATAGGCAATATCGAGTCACTGAATCCGAGGTGAAAGCCGTGGTGAACGTTACCGCGCGACTGTCCGCTCCAACTTGTACTCAAGTATAGAAGAAACGGTCCTCTCTTCCCCACCGATATGCTACACCATCGGGTTTATAACTACGGGTTACTTTCACAAAACTTCTCACTCGTGGAGCCGTTGAATTTTCACATGAACGAGGGGGAACCGAGGGGGGACAACATCAGGACTGAATTATTGCGAAGAGACTGGTCATGACGTCAGATTGGAAAAACATCCAGGTATATCATGACGTGGGTGGGGTTTAACGAAATAGAAGAGGGAGGTCTTTCGCGTTCCAATCGCGAGAATATCCTCGAGGGTCGACGATCCCAGTTACCTCAAGGTCCTTGGGGATCCTTAGGTGAGGATTCGCGGGATTTCAGGGAGTTTTCGGGGGGAGAGGGATCCGGTGACACTTGGCTGCGGGGATTGCTGGGCTTGAGGTGTCCGGGAGGTTGACGGGAGGATCGGTTTTTGGTGGGATTCGGACCCGACACCTATGAAAAAATCGTATAGAAATTTTCTATACGGATTGCGTATAAAAATTCTATTGATTTTCCGTATATGATATTCGCATATTTCTATACGAATTATTTCTATACATAAATTTTTGTTTTCATACGAAAGGTCTAAACGCTCCAGAGAAAAACGTAGAGAAATGTCGCAACTCCATACGAAATGTTTCTATACATGTGGCAGTGGGTCGTATAGGATCCAACCTATAGAAATCGTATAGAAATAATTTGTATAAAAAATATCCGTATAGAAATATCCGAATACCATATACGAAAATCCTATAGAAATTCGGTACGCAATCCGTATAGAAAATTTCTATACGATTTTTTCATACGTGGAGTGTCGAGGGATTGATTGAAAGAAAGAGGAAAATTATTTTCATTCATTTGAAAAGTTTCGCTCGTTTGAATTCCGCCAATTGGAATATTTTTCAGAAATTTCAATACGATCACTGTTAAAAAAATTTAACTAAATTTTCCAGAAAATGACACTGAAGTCAATTTAACGGAAAAAAGTCTATGAGACTTCAAGTTTCTCTGAAAATTCAAGGAAATCCCTGATTTTTCAGTGGAAGAACCATGAAGATTCCGAAATTTCCATGAGTTTTCAATGTAAACATGATAATTCAATAAGAAATTGCTCTGAAATTTCAAAAAATTGAAAATTCAAGGACATTTTTTATTCAATTTTCCTAATTTCCGTTAATTTTCATGGAATAATTTAACTGAAATTTAAAATTTCCATGAATTTTCCACGAAAACCACGAATTTTCAATGGTAAAATCCCCTGAAATGAAATGAAACCGTCACTTGTTCCATATTTCAAGACTGGAAACTTCAGTGAAAATTTTTTAACAGTGATATTGAGGTGATATTGCAGCTTTCGGGGAATCACGTATGGAAACATTCAATAGAAAAACTTGGCGAATTCGCAAGAAAATTGTATTGGAATTCTATTAAAATTCTAGGGAATACGGAGAGAAATTTTCTAGAAAAATTCTAGGACGAGTACTAGAAAAAATTACACTCCACCGGCTGTGAAAAATTCTAGTGCTGTTAAGGTAAAATTTCTGGGGATTTTTGTGAAATTTTAGGCGCGAGGCCGTCACTTCGCGCCTCTTTTTCTGTGCTAGCGCTAGAATTTTTCGAAAAAATTTCTCTGCGTGAAATCTTGTTTAAAATTCTATTTGCTTTTTTGCGCTCATTCTATGAGATATTTGATAGGAAAAAGTCAATGAATTTCGATTTTTCTATAAGAATACTTGGGCATCAATTTTCAATTTTTTTTTCACTCGGATCCTTTAACGCGAAACAAAACAAACTATAGCGAAAAAACGTAGAAAATCTTTGCCCAATAATTTTAATAGAAAAATCTCAAGAGAGAATTTCGAATAGAAAAATCGAAATCCATTGATTTTTTCCTATCAAATATCTAACAGAATCGGCGCAAAAAATTAATAGAATTTTTTAATGAGAATTTCCTAGAATTGTAACAGATTCTCCATATAATTTCTAGAGGACTCCAATAGAATTTTCTGGCGAATTCGCTAAGGTTTTCTATTAAATTTTTTCATCCGTGATAACTTGATTTGAAATCATGTTTTCAATAAATTTCCAATGAGCAAGATTTTTCATTCTACATTCTTCACGGTAGATTTTCTAGAAAAAAGTCATCTCCCGAAGATCTCTCAGCATTATCTCTAGAAGATTCTCTTTTCTTAAGAATCTTCCGGGATCGCCAGAAAGATCTACAAGATAATCTTTTGAAGATTTCCTCAGAAATTTCCTCAGACAGAAATTTTTCTACCCGGAACAAAAAATTGTTATATTTTTTTTTGTAATTTCTGCATTCTTCACGATGAAAAAAAATTCTCGGGAATCCTTGAGGAATTTCCACGGCCGGATGGTCAGATTTTGGAAGGATTTTCGCATGTTCGATGCGTAAGGATCTATAATGGGATTTGGATCCGTCTGCCGAGGGATCGATTGAAACAAAAATTGAAATTATTTCAATTCATTTGAAAATGTTCTCATTTGAATTCCACAGACTTACATTTTTTCGTAATTTCATTACGATATTCAAATAATTCTGTGGTTTTCGGGGAATAACTTGATGTGAAGTCATGTAACTTGAGAAGTTTTTAATCTGAAATGAACATTCCGAAGGGATCTTCACGTGCTTGAAGCGTGACAAACTATTTCTGGTAGGATTGAAGTCCGCGTATCAAATGAGCGCTCGAAACAAAAATCGTAATCATTCAAGTTCACAAAAAAAACCATTTGATTCGACATAAGAATTTATTTTTTCGTAGTGTTGATGCGACATTGACATCTTAATATCGGCCTTCTTACGAAATAACTTGATTTCAACCGATGTTTTCAATAAATTTCCAATGGACTTCCCATTCTCCATTCCCCGCAGCAGCAAAAAATGCTTTTCGGCTTGCGTCGAGTGCCCAAAGTCCTTCAATATTCCGGAGAAAGGACACATGACCCGCAGTTCCTTTATTAATATTCTTCTTCGCCGAGGGAAAGGATAGAGTGACATTTATGACCGATCTCCCGAGAGATCCTGACTTTTATCGATCTTTGATGCCCCAGAGCTCGAAAATCTTTGTTTATGTTCAAGGGTGAGGGGGAGTTCGCCTGCTCGATCCTTCGAGAGACTCAAGGACTTTCCGTTGGGTTTCTAATTACAGACTTCTGTTTTGCGTTGTCAGTGATTAACATATTGAGCATTATCGCCAAATATGGCGGGAGAAGAAATTCCTCGGATGGCGGGAAATCTGGGAGGCGGTGGGACCTTGAACAATCCCTTCACATCTTCCGAGATCTTCGAGGAAGGTTTCGGTGCGGAAGGTTTGCTTCGATTCCCTTTATTGATAAATCTGAGTCGAGCAAATTCCATAGAAAATATATGAAAAGAATGAGTTATATAGAAAAATCGAATTCTGTTAACTTTTCGTATTGAATTCTTTCTACTGAACATGTCAACAGAATCAGCCAAAAACTCATAAAAAGTTTAATAGAAATTCAACAGAATTTTCTAACGAATTCGATAGGTTTCGATGGGTTTCGATAGGACTAAGGTTTTCTAACTTCCTATTAAACTTTTTCGTGCGTGTATCCCCTGAACCGTGATTTCAATTTACATTGAAGTGAACAGAAAAACTTCGAGAAAGATCTTTATTATACCGAACCCCTGTCCTCCCACAGCCCCCGACCGCCCCATCACTGTCGATCCATCGACAGATTGAGAGACTCCCCAGGCTCCTTCTTCCCGAGCACCCCCATGTCCAGCATGGCCCCAAAATCGGGCCTCACACTGGATATCGATAGTTCCTCAGCAGTGGTGAAATCCGTGGGCCTCCCCTTGCCCACCTCCTCCACCCCCTTCTTCCTATCGCCCATCAATTCCTCCCCATACCCCCCCATCAGTCCCTCCCCCCCAAACTCCCCCTTCCTCTCGCCAGCGAGATCCTTGAGCTGGCTAGGTGTCAGAGGCACACCCTTGGCAAGCGGTCCAAACAGGTTTGCTATATTCCTCGCGTACACCGATGATGCCGGGCTCTTTGTCAACTCGCTCAATGAGAATCCAGATAATTTGGCGAGGTCAGCTGGTGTGAAACTCGCCAGTTTACTCAGATCCGGGATAATCTGCTGGGAGATGTCAGGAATGGGAAAGTCCGGTGGGAGATTGCCTCGTATTTTGTTGAGGGTCTCCAGTGACAGGGGCGCCAGTTTAGTGAAATCAACAGGTGGTGGGTCAAAATCAATCTTTGAATTTTTCACGGACACTGTGAGCTCGCCGGATCTGAAGGTGGGGTGAATGTCCCTGTCTGGCTTGAAGGATCTCTCCTTCAGGTCGTCTTTCTCCTTCTCGCGACTGGAGGTCGGTGGGTGGAGGGCAAATTGTTTGGTGACAGAACTCGTGATTGTGGTGTCGGGCTTGAAGTTCACGGGGGCTAGGAATACGTTGGTGGAGGCCAGGGTGCCCGGGGTCTGGGCGAGGGGCTCGGACAGGGGGAGAGGGGGGTAGGGGACTGAGACGAAGGCCTCGGGGGAGTCGTCCTTCGAGCCTGGGGAGATCATCTCTTTGATGACCTCCCAGTAGCCACTGCCGGTACCTCGGTTACGACCTGGCAGCTTCGAGGCGAGGGACGTACGCAGGCGGTCGAGGTACGTCGTCGAGGCGGTGAATTTTAATTTGAAGTCTATGCCACCCTCGGACTTGTAGTACTCGATGCACTTCTTTATCTCGTCGAGGGCGTCCTGCGGGAGGAAGGGCTCTTGGGTTATTGTGTAGGAGAGGAGCATTGGGCGGGGGTACTCGTGGGGGCGGTTCTCCGGGGGGGGCATCGACCAGAACACGTTGAAGTTGGACTCGTAGCAGTTGCCGTCCGCGTTGTAGGGCGCTGGAAGAGAACGATTTGGAGTGATTATGGAGGTATTGGTATGGGTATTGAAAGATTTATTAAATGTAGATTATGTTGTACAAAGATGCTGACGGCCATTAACGGCCCAGTGGCATTTACATTCTGACAAGGGTTAGAAAACACCCTAAAGGGCACTCTCAGCAGACACTATAAAATAATGTCAAGGTATTACAATTAAGCGTGCCAAGTGAATTTGGCGATGCCTTGAAAATTTACATTCACCAACAAAGTTATAATTTTTTTAATTAATAGTATTAGACAGATGGTGAACATCGGTGAGAATTTTAAAATTTTAGAACTTATGGATATCGAGAAATTAAATAAACAAAATCAATCTTATACACGGCCTCTTATGGAGTTTTGATTAAATTGAACGTTTCAACCCCCTAGGAACTCAAGAAAAATTAAAAAAAATTTGAAGATATGGGGAATGATGTATTCGATGTGATGGCGACAAAAAACAATGGGGTACCGGGGTTAATAAGAGAGATATTTCAATCCGCCGTACCCATTTGATCCCATGCTTTCTCGAGGTTCGTCACGTGAAATAGAGGATTTTCCGCATTTATTTTCTCGATGTCTAGTTTCGGTTGCGGGTTTGAAATTTCGTCGGATGGATGAATACATATTTCTCCAATGATGGAGGGAAAGAAAAATTTTTTTTTGAATCTTTTTTCAAATTCACTTGGCACCCTTAACGGCCCAGCTACATTTACATTCTGACAAGGTTTAGAAACGCCGTAAAGGGCACTCTCAGCAGACACTATAAAATAATGTCAAGGTATTACAATCAAAGGCCCATCATGAGAAGAAGCGCAATATTGCAATAACTTGCTGCTGCGTACTTTGATTAATAGCTCTCTAGATCATTGCAGAATGAATATATATGTGAAGATGTGTAGACAGGTAGATGAGTGATGATGTGTGCGTAAAATGCCCTAGTGCAGTCGAGGACGTAAGGGTAAAGCCTTCATTTGCAAGAGTTCTCGTAATGAGACCTTGAAAGACTGCAAGGAAGGAAGCTCACGTGTCTCTGAGGGAATAGCATTACAAAAATAGGCCGCTGATACGTGAAACGAGCGCCTCAAAAAAGAAAAAGAGAACAGTTCCTCTTAACGTTCTCCAGTCTTCTGAAAACTCAAACAACTCCCAACAATTCCTGAAAAATTCTATCATTGTGTGTAGCTGAACTTTTTTCATATTCTATCTTTCAAAACGAAAAATATCTTGATGGTCTGAATTAAAAAATTATCTAGAGAGTTAATAAATCATAAGACAACTTGAAAAATTGAAAAAATTAGTTAATTCGCCTCCCAAATCTTCAACAACTCTATCAAAACCCCTCCAATATCGTTGACTCCCAAGCTAATTTGAAAATTCTCGCGAGTTGAGGAAGTAAAAACGAAAAAAATTGATGAAACTCACAGCAAATTAGCCCAACACAGGGTGTGTAGCCATTGTCACTGGGTCCCTTCATCTTGATCTGATAATCAAGCTGGTAATCGACGTCCCTCAGAGACGGAGCTGCATGAGACCTTGGATGAGAGTGATACCATCCAACCAGAGTGACTCTGTGCCACTCCATGGCTTTCGCAATCTCCGCCTCTACCATGCTGGCAGCAGTCTTATCCTTACCGGCGTATCGACAGGGAAAGGCATTTGTTATGGATAGATTGTGGGAGTTTATGTCCCAGTGCCCACCCAAGTACCCGCACACCTCCTTGTCTGTGAGGTGGCAGTGGAGATCAACAATCAGAGCTGCTGTCGTTGATATTGTCACCAGGAAAGGCTGGATCTTGCCGAGGGTGCTGAAGGACGTCAGCTCGACCATTGTGCTCATGTCCCTGGGGTCACAAGTCATTTTTATTCATTTCGAATTCAATTATCAATTCAAAAAGGAAAAGATTATCAAATAAAAAGGTGAAACTTAGACTCAGCAAATTTCTTCATGAGTTTTTTGTAAATATCTTCGGAAATAATGGAGCTAGCAGGATTTATGTTAGGAACTTTTTTATAGAGAATTTTAAGAGCTATAAAAAAGGTCTTATGAACAATGTCGCTATCTCCCTTACTTCTCGAGATATTTCCAAAAAACCAAATTAGAAATTAAATTGAGTAGGAGGAAACCAGAGAAAAATCAACGATCTTCAATGCTGAATATCTCGAGATCGGCTGAGTGAAATTTCATTACTTTTTTTCCATTTTCAAGGTACTTTTCTCAGCCTTCAAATGAGACTAGACTCATCTAAATCGCGTCATTCGTTCGTCAGATATTGAGCATGGACCACTGAAATTATTGAAAGTGCTTACATGGCAGGACTTCTGATCCCCAGATTTGTGTGTTTCACTGGTACTCTCACTACGATTGACGGATTGACCTGAGGTTTCTCCTGTTCCTCCTCCATCGTTTCACTGGCTGCATCCATCGTATCGACTTTGGTTCCCTACAGAAGAATTCATCAAGAAAATTAATTCACGAATCAATAAAAACTGCACTTCGAAAGACGTTTGCAGTGCACTTTGCCTAGTGTTATTCTCTTTAATTTCGTCTACTCTGGTTTGAGAATCGTACCGGATGCATTCTCCAGTCGATCTCCACCCCCGAAGGCCCTTTTCACTAAAAAATATTCGATTTACACCGGAGAAGGCGAGTGCTAACAATTATTGTTGATATTCGCAGATGCGTCTGACGGAACACAAACACATTTCCCCGGATTTTCTTGATCGAGTGCTGGATACTGCGGGCATTTTCTGTTTTACTTTCTGCTGGTATTGTTTCAACAATGCAAAATGGCGAGCGAAATGCAAGAGAGGACAGGAATCTGTCACCGCTCCTGTCAAACTGACGAAGGAGAGCAGTGAAATCTGAATTTAGTGATGTGGTTTTAATTGTGTCCAGAATATTGGTGAAGGAAGACGTCAAGATGCACGACGCATACGAAGCAACGCCCATTCTGAAGCTGACAGTGCAAATAGAGTCTATGGCAGCCTATGGTACAGCCTTCATAACCTCCGGCAACTCTACACGCATGAAAAAATTTAATAAAAAATTTTATTTGAAGTTTAATAAAAGCCCAAAGCTTTGTGGAAGTGCAAAAGCTTTCTCTGAGAAATTGTCCTGAATTTCCATGGGAATTCTGGGAGAATTCTCGTGGGGTTCTGTTAGGAAATTCTGTTTGTTTTTTGTGTTGATTTTGTAGAAGATTATGCAACTTTACCTTATTTTGTTAAGGGATATTTAATAGAAAACAGTTATCAGATTTTAATTTTTATATTGGACTTCTTGAGTGGAAAATTTCTTTCTCCTGTATTTTTATTCATTTCTCGTAATAAACTCCAGGGAAAGAAATAGAAAATTCATGCCCAAGATTTTTGATAGAAAAAATTCCAACAAAATAACATACAATTACATAGAAAAATTTACACCTGCAAGTTTTTTCTGTAAACAAATATCCATTTAAAAACGCAGGTAGAAGATATAAAATTTTTAATAAAATTGTCGTAAAAGATCATATAGAATTATTGAAGATAAAATGGAATTATCAATAGAATTCTAATGGAAATTGGGCAGAATTTAATACACGAAGCGCCAAGTTTTTCTATTGAATTTTCTCGTACGTCTATTCAATTGTCGTTTTGTTTTTTTTGCTGCAGACGACAATTTATTGATTGGAACGAGAGAGGGTCATTTGTTGATCTACAATGTCCCACCTAAATCCAACGAGTATGGAAAGTTGGAGTTGCTGCGGTACAGCAAGAATTTTAGTAAAAAGAGGATCGTGCAGGTGGATGTCGTACCTGAATTTAATTTACTCATCTTATTGACAGGTGGGAACATCAAAGGAATGTTTATTCATTTATTTATTGAATAAATACTTAAATCCATACAATGCTCATATCCCCCACATCATCACATGCTTGAAAAGATTTAATAAAAAAATCTAGCGAATTCGGTAAAAAGGATTCTATCAGATTTCTTTTAAACTTCCTATTAGTTTTTGATCGATTTGATTGAACCATTCAATAGATGTAATATTTTGGAGAATTTTTTAATCACACTTTTATAACATAAAAATGGCAGATGGCTACATACCACTGTTTTGAAAATTGACATACCTCGCTGTCACTTCCCACGAGGAGTTACTGTTTTGTTATCCACCATGAAAAATAACAGCTAATAGATAGGGGCGGGTGGGGTAAAACGGACACTTTAGACTTTTTTAAAATTATTCATAACTCATTACCAAATTGATCAATTGAGCTCAGTTTAGTCTCCTCACAAAGGGAAAGAATTGTTCTTTGTATTGAAAAAAAAAATTACTAAATTTTATCAACATTTCAACCCCTCATTAAAATTTTTAAAAAAGTCAAAAGTGTCCGTTTTACCCCAACCTCCCATAATTTGCCACAGCGAATCAGATATTTGTAATTTCCACTTTTTTCAACTCATTCTGAATCTCAATTAAAAACGCTCTTTGAAAAAGTTCAGGATTTTTTCTATTTTTTTTAATCACTCTATCATAATTTTCGGGAATTTTTACATGATATAGGTGAGGGTGGGGTAAAACGGACACTTTAGACTTTTTTAAAATTATTCATAACACATTACCAAATTGATCAATTAAGCTCAGTTTAGTCTCGTCACAAAGGGAAAGAATTGTTCTTTGTATTGAAAAAAAAAATTATTAAATTTTATCAACATTTCAACCCCTCATTAAAATTTAAAAAAAAGTCAAAAGTGTCCGTTTTACCCCAACCTCCCTTACCACTCAGTTGACAATTTTGGATTACGAAAGATAAAAAAAATCCAGATAACATTCGAAAGATAGTACCCCCGGGCCTTAAGGGTGCCAATTGAATTTGGCGATGACCTTGAAAATTGACATTCACCAACAAAGTTATAATTTTTTTATTTAATAGTATTAGACAGATGGTGAACATCGGTAACAATTTTAAAATTTTAGAACTTATGGATATCGAGAAATTAAATAAACAAAATCAGTCTTATACACGGCCCCTTATGGAGTTTTGACTAAATTGACCGTTTCAACCCCCTCGGAACTCAAGAAAAATTTGAAAAAATTCGAAGACATGGGGAATGATGTGTTCAATGTGATGGCGACAAAAAACAATGGGGTACCGGGGTGAATAAGAGAGATATTTCAACCCGCCGTACCCATTTGATCCCATGCTTTCTCGATGTTCGTCACGCGAAATAGAGGATTTTCCGCATTTATTTTCTCGATGTCTAGTTCCGGTTGCAGGTTTGAAATTTCGTCGGATGGAAGAATACATATTTCTCCAATGATGGAGGGAAAGAAAAAAAATTTTTTGAATCTTTTTTCAAATTCACTTGGCACCCTTAAAAGAAAATAAAAAATAGCTATTAAACCCTCCCTTAGACGACATAATCTGCGTGCACGACCTGAACTCCATAAACATCCAGCAAATAAGCCAGCTCCCAAAGACCAAAGGAGCAACGCTCTTCGCCCTGGACATCCAAGAAGCGAAGAGTCTAACCGGCGAGAAGAACACGGTAGTTCGTCTGTGTGTCGCAGTGAAGCGCAAGCTCCAGCTCTACTACTGGAAGGGTCGTGAGAATCAGTTCAAGGACCTGGGAGTGGAGTCTCGAAACGAGCTCTCCCTCCCGGACGTCCCGAGGGAGCTTGCCTGGTGCGGCGAGACCCTGATCGTCGGTTTCCACGGCATCTCCTACACCCTGATCTACCTGGACGGCAAGACGAAGGAGCTCTTCCCCACCGGCAAGCCCCCAAAGCCCAGCATCACGAAGCTCTCGGACTCGTCCTTCGCGCTGGGCAAGGACTCCCAATCGATCATAATGAACACCTCTGGGGAGTTGATCCAGCACAATCCAGTCAAGTGGACGGACTCACCGAGTGTTACAGCCTGGGACGACCCCTATCTTCTGGGGATAGTCCACGACACCCTGGAGGTCTACACCCTGGAGGGCTCGCTGCACATCCAGACGCTCCAGGACCTCAACAAGTCACGACTCCTCTGCAGATGCAAGCAGGGCAGGGTCTACGTGGCCTCAATCAGCCAGGTCTGGTGTGTGAGTTCTGTCGACGTTGAGCTCCAGATCAGAAAGCTCCTGGAGCAGAACCAGTTCCAACTGGCGTTGAAGCTGACGAATCTGTCGGAAACTACGGAGGACGAGAAACTCAAGCGAACGTACAAGATTCAGACGCTGTACGCCCACCACTTGTTCTGCAGCAAAAAATTCCAAGAGGCGATGAAGCAGTTCCACGAGCTGGGGACAGACCCCTACGAGGTGATTCGTCTGTTTCCTCATCTTGTCTCGGACTCGGGGGGCAACGAGGTCGAGCCAGTGACGGGTCTGCCGAAACTTCAGGATCGCGATCTCGAGAATGGATTGCTAGCTCTGATCGGTTTTCTGACGGAAGTCAGGCACAATCTCATGGGGGGGACCGATGGCAAAGAGGGGAAGGAGAGGGAGAGGAAGAGCATGACTGCAGCGGCCACCGAGCAGCTGCTCAAGATCATTGACACGACGCTGCTCAAGTGCTATCTTCAGACGAACGACGCGCTGGTGGCGCCACTGCTGCGGTTGAATCACTGCCATTTGGCGGAGGCGGAGAAGACTCTGCTGCAGCACCAGAAGTACCCGGAGCTGATTATTCTTTATCAGACGAAGGGACAGCACAAGAAGGCTCTTGAGTTGTTGGAGAAACAGAGCAAGCAGAGTGACTCCAGCTTGAGGGGGACTGAGAGGACTATTCAGTATCTTCAGCATCTGGGGAAGGAGCATGTGGAGCTCATTCTCAAGTTCTCGGGGTGGGTGCTGGAGCAGGACCCTGAGCAGGGACTCAGGATATTCATGGAGGACGTGCAGGTAGGGATGCAGGGGAATTTTTTTTTTTTTATTAACGATGTTTTTGTTCAGTCAACAGAAATATTTACATTTTTACATTTATGAAAAGTAGTCTAAAAAAATTTTGGTATAAAATAATGCATTTTGTGTGTAACCTAATGGCCAATTAGTGGCTCTCGAGTTTAAACCAGATCGTTATAGTTAATTCTGTAAATTTTATGTTATCAGTCCATATTTATTAATGTTGTTGAATTGGTCGTATCGCCAGATACGAACGGTATGGAATTTTGTTTTTATTTTTCGTCCCCAAAAAAAATTTTTTTAGATGTGGTTGCTTTATTGTTAAAAAAAGGGCACCCCCTTATTTGCGGATTGATGAGGATAAAAGAGTAATTATCAGTTACTGTTTGATGATATTTATAATCATAACAGGGTATCGTGTGTTTATTTCATTTGACATATTTTGACTAGGGATAGTGTCAAAGGACTTTTATTTTATTTTATATTATGTTAATTATTTATATATTGTTCTCCCTCATTTTCTTGTTTAATTTAAGGAGGTCTGAAATTGTGTCTATTTCGGTGATATCGGGATGCAGGGGAATCGAGTGAGTGGGGTATTTATCGTTATATTATGGGGAATTTAGGCATCACGCGTGGAAAAATTTCTTAGAAGAAAATTGCTATTGGGCGCGTTTCGCAATCGACGTAGTAGCAGTAGCAGTACTGCAACCCTATCTAATTTTGCTTTACTGCAGCTACGGTGGTTGATTCCGAAACGCACCCGTTGTCTGGCGAATTGGCTAGAGAATAGTATTGGATTTCTAGGGAAATGTTCAATGGGAAATAGTCTGTGGAAAAAAAGAATAGAATTCGATTTTTCTATACGAATTATTCTATTGAGATATTTTCTTTAGAATTTCCTCGACATAAATTTTTTAAGTTTATTTGTTTAAGTTTATTTGGTTTCGTGACGAAAAGAAAAGAAGAATAGAATAAAACTCAACCAGAATTCTCCCATTTTTTGAGAGTTCTGAAAAGCCCGTCGCTCAAATAGTTGGAATCAACCTTCACCCGGCTAGAAAATTCGATCTTGAGGCCCTGGAAAAATCCAAGATTTTTGACACTGGCCCCCGGTAAAAATTGTTTTTTTTCTATTTTCACTTTTTCCACATACTTTTGAGATTTCTGAATAGCCCGTCGCTTAAATAGGTGGAATCAACGTTCACCCGGCTAAAAAATTCGATTTTGGCGAAAGTCGACTTTCCACCTGGAAAAACGGAAAATCTGACCCTTTGAAAATCTGAAAAAAAAAACTTTTTCAGTTTTCACTTTTTCCACATAGTTTTGGGAGTTCTGAATAGCCCGTCGCTCAAATAGTTGGAATCAACCTTCACCCGGCTAGAAAATTCGATCTTGAGCCCCGGGAAAAATCCAAGATTTGACACTTTGGCCCCCGGTAAAAATTGTTTTTTTTCTATTTTCACTTTTTCCACATACTTTTGAGATTTCTGAATAGCCCGTCGCTTAAATAGGTGGAATCAACGTTCACCCGGCTAAAAAATTCGATTTTGGCGAAAGTCGACTTTCCACCTGGAAAAACGGAAAATCTGACCCTTTGAAAATCTGAAAAAAAAAACTTTTTCAGTTTTCACTTTTTCCACATAGTTTTGGGAGTTCTGAATAGCCTGTCGCTCAAATAGTTGGAATCAACGTTCACCCGGCTAAAAAATTCAATTTTGGCGAAAGTCGATTTTCCACCTGGAAAAACGGAAAATCTGACGCTTTGAAAATCTGAAAAAGAACTTTTCCAGTTTTCACTTTTTCCACATACTAAAGAACGACAGTACCTTGACATTTCCACGTGCAGGAGGTCGAGCAGCTGCCAAGGCCGAAGGTCCTTGATTACCTCTTGAGGCAGCACAAAGGGCTCGTCATCACGTACTTGGAGTACGTGGTGAGAGTCTGGGAGGACGAGAACTCACTCTTCCACAATATCCTGGTGCACCAGTACAAGGAGAAATGCCTGGCGGGCATGAGTCCCTCGGCGACACCGGCCGAGAGACAGAATGCCGAACATGTCAGGCAGAAGCTGCAACAGTTTCTGGAGAAGTCCGTGCATTACACTCCGGAGACGGTTCTCGTGCAGTTCCCCTCGGACTGCTTGTTCGAGGAGAGGGCGATCATCCTGGGGCGACTCGGGAGGCATCAGCAGGCGATTTCTATTTATGTTAATCTGCTGAATGATGTGCCCAGGGCCATTAAGTACTGCCATAATGTCTATGCGGGGTATGAAGGTAGGTGGATTGACTTGTTATGGGAGAATTTTTGTTGAAAGATTCTTCAATCTTGAATATTTTACGGACTTCATCATTAATTAATGTGAAAATAAAAAAGTCCCGTATTTCACACACGCAAGAATGCATTACAAAAATCAATGATAAGAGAAAAAAACATTCGATCAATAAATAAAAATCAGTAATGAATAAATGAAAAATAAAAATAAATTTTATCGCAGGTTTCGAAGAATATCTGCGAATCTAAGGGAAATGGCGGAATTTTCATAATGACCTTTTTTGTAGCTCTTAATTGGCTCTCCAAAAGAGATTATAACGAAAATTTTGCTGTTTACCGCAGATTCCGAGATATTTATTGAAAAACCAATGATTAAAATCGATTGAAACCGTTTTGTCGCTTCGCTACGAAAATTAATGAGAGAAAAATCATTCAATAATCTTAAATTTTTTATCAATCACCTTTCATTTATCAAAGTTACGATTAATGCTGATTCCTGGTGGTTCTACATAAAGAAGATATTTTCTGTAATTTTGTTTTCATGATAAAATTATTCGAATGAATTATTTAGTCGTCAGGAAACTCACTACGAGAGAAATTCCACGACTTTATTATTTTTTTTGTTATAAAAAAAAATTGCAATGTTTTGCTTCAAGTTTAAACATAATTCGGAAGAATAGAAAGAAGAAAAAAATTCAGGAAATATTTCTATTGATATTGTTGGTACTGTTTATATTTTATGTGTACAATATTGATGGTTTGGAAGAAGTGACATTCTGAGGGTGACATTTTGATGGTTATCCTAAAGGTCAGAGAAACGGGGATGGAGGAAAGTCGACTGACGGGGCTGATGAGGTCTATGTGACACTAATTCAACAGCTGCTCAAGCCAGAACCTGTCTTTTTGGCCGGTGAGTTGTTCGAAATAGTAGAATTATCCTGTTTTGATTTTTATGACGAGAAAATGAATCAAAAAATGGTAGATTCAATGCCAAATAAGTCTGTCGTTCATTAAATATTTCAATTGAATAATTCGGATCAAAATCTAGTGATCGATGAGGAGAGAATGTTTTCATTTTTGCTTCCGAATGGACAAAAGCTTTGTAATCAATCGATTTTCAGGAATTTATTCATGAATATAGACTTTAATAAGCTCTATCCATTGACACGAATTAAAATTCAATTTTTCATACAGATTCGAAAAAATTGATATTTTTCCAAAAATCGATTTTTCAACGATCACTCAAAAAATTGTCATCAAAATGGAATTAGTCATGGCTCAAAGAATTGATAACAATACCCTCTTGATTCTATCAGAATATGATGGGGGTCGCACAATTCGTTGTTGAGTTACAGCACATTGTTTATGCGATTTGAAAGAGAAAATCGGTTTTTTCATGATTACTGAAAGAATCATCAGTAATAGCAATTAAATCAGGGCTTGAAAAGTATATTTCAATGGCTTCTTAATCAAGTTGAAAAATGGTGAGAACAGCATCATTGCTTATCAAGTTACACAATACCGTCATGAGCTTTTTATATAAAAATCTCTATCTCGATTAAACTCAGGTACCAGTCTATTATGTTGAATACTTATTCATATTGATTCATGGTCCCGACTAACTTCTGACAGAACCTGGGTTAAACTCTGGCTAAATCCTGAACAAACCCTGATTAAATCCCGGCTATACACTGATTAAACTTTGATTGAGCCTTGATTAAACCCGGACTGAAAACGAATTCGAGTCTTGAGAGGGTCTGAATGTAGAATTATTTGACAGAACGAAATAATACGCAAAATTTTGATGACATTTCGATTGATGATAGTACTATGACGTGAAAAAATAGAAAGACAGAATGTGAAATAAGAATTTTAAAAAAGAGAATCCATTTGGAAGCAAATTGCTAATTTATTAGCAACAATAATTGTACTCATTTATTTTAAAAAATGCAATTATCCACTCGTTTTTTAGGAAACTCAGAGATACAGAAAAATTTTGATGACATTTCAATTGATGATGGTACTATGACGTGAAAAAATAGAAAGACAGAATGTGAAATAAGAATTTTAACAAAGAGAATCCATTTGGAAGCAAATTGCTAATTTATTAGCAACAATAATTGTACTCATTTATTTAAAAAAATGCAATTATCCACTTGTTTTTTAGGAAACTCAGAGATACAGAAAAATTTTGATGACATTTCAATTGATGATGGTACTATGACGTGAAAAAATAGAAAGACAGAATGTGAAATAAGAATTTTAACAAAGAGAATCCATTTGGAAGCAAATTGCTAATTTATTAGCAACAATAATTGTACTCATTTATTTAAAAAAATGCAATTATCCACTTGTTTTTTAGGAAACTCAGAGATACAGAAAAATTTTGATGACATTTCAATTGATGATGGTACTATGACGTGAAAAAATAGAATGAGAGAATGTGAAATAAGAATTTTAAAAAAGAGAATCCATTTGGAAACAAATTGCTAATTTATTAGCAACAATAATTGTACTCATTTATTAAAAAAAATGCAATTATCCACTCGTTTTTTAGGAAACTCAGAGATACAGAAGACTGCTCAACCTGATTTAGAGACTGCCTTGGAGCTCTTGGAGCAGTATGCCCCCAAGATATCGCCAATCAAGGCCCTGGAGGTGCTGCCTGATACAGTGCCTATTGGGAGGATCAGGCACTTCCTGGAAGCGTCCCTGCAGAACCAGTTGAATGAGAGGAGGAAGACCCAGGTGTTGAAGGGGCTGCTTCATGCTGAGCATCTCCAGGTCCAAGAGCAGAGAATGCATTACGAGTCTCAGAGTGTTCTCATGACTGAGTTTAATATCTGTCCTGTTTGTAAGAAGAGATTTGGCAATCAGAGGTCAGGACAATCAATATGAGATAATCTTCTTATTTAGTTTATTTTCACTTTTTCGTTTTTTCTACGAATTTCGCTAGCTCGACTACACTGTTATAAATTTTTTACTGGAATTTTCGGTACACTTTTTGGAAATTTTTATCACATTCGTTGTACAATTTTATGTTGAAATCAATTGGTATTATCAGAAAATTTTAACCTGCTTTTAATATTTCAGTGCATTCGCAAGATATCCCAACGGCGAGATAGTCCACTACTCCTGTCAAGAGCGAAAAACGTGAAGTGAAACCAAATAATCAGTTTTTCATAACGAAAACATTTATAACTGCAATGTAACATACTCCACTAGTCGATTATTTTCAAATTTTTATGAATAAAAATTATTAAAAAATCCACGAAAAATGCCATCCAGAAATTCCCCGAAAAGTCAATCCATTCTTCCGGCGTTTATTTTCAGTTTTCATTCCAAAATATCTCTCAATTAATGTCCAGTCAATGGGTTAAGTTATTATTTTTATTCGTCTCCCCTCGCTGGACTAGTTTCATTTCTAGGACAATCAGTGCTATGAACAAATTTTAATCCAATATTTCTAATAATATAATATTGAATCGTTTTTTTAATCAGTCGCCATTAACTGAAATTTAATTCATCGATTAGTTTTTTTAATTTTCAAATTTTTTCGAAAATCTGTTTTCCCACGATAACTAAAAAAATGTTCTGAAATGATTGAATGATGACTTGAAAAATTTGTTTGGACGTCCTTTTGACCGAGTTCGAAGATGCAGGCGATAGCAATAATCGTTATTTTGATTCATTTGAAAGTTTGCAAAAAATTTGTATTTTTTTTAAATCAGAATTCCGGGGATATCTTTAAATATCATGCTTCAAATGAATTCAATCATAGCTTAAAATGTTTGTTTTAATACCATTGAGTTGAAGTTAAAAGATAATTACGATGGCTATATTGGTTGATTTTATTTTTATGATGATTGTTGAAAATTTCGAATTTTTCATGAATTTCCCTGAGAGTGAGCTTTCTGACGGTTTCTTCAAATGTGATGTTTCAAACTCATTCGAGTATGTGTAAATAAAATTTTTCTATTAACATTTTATCGAAGGGCCGAGGGGAGAGATAGAACCGTAAAAAGAATCGGTTGTACAGAAGAAAGGGATAATAAGAATAACGATGATTGTAACATTCAACTAAGTTGAAAATCTGACAAAATTAGTTTTAAAAAATCTTGTTCAATTTAATAAAATTAAATACACAATGAATTATGCTTGATGGAAGGAAATGATGTGCAAAGTAAGCATTCGAAAGCAATTGCTAATTTATTAGCAAAAATAACTATATTATATGGAATACAAGAGTAACTTTCCACTTGTTTATAATGAAGAAATTGATAAGTGCAATGTAACACACTCGATCAGTCGATTATTTTCAAATTTTTATGAATAAAAATGATTGAAAAACCCATGAAAAATGCCACCCTGACCTCGCTCTTAAAATCCAGGTCTCTGTACCGAAATTCCCCGAAAATTCAATCCATTCTTCCGCGGTTTATTTTCAGTTTTCGTCCAAAAATATCTCCCTCTCGGACTCTGTCATCTCAATTAACGTCGAATCGTCGGATTAATTGGTGCATCTGGCGATGGGAATGGACCATTCAATGGTTCAAGGGGGGACAGGTTTCCCGGTCATAATTTTTTGAATCTCGAGGGTGAAATCATCCAATAAAAATTCACGAATAACAAACAGCGATGAAGGATGGGGCGTGCCCGGTCCAGAAAACGTGTAAACGGGGCTGATGATGTCATAGGCGCAAGCTGTGTATCACTCCGCCCTATCGGACAGGCTTTTTTGTGAGTGTGGGGGGCATCACCAATAATGTGATTCTGCAGGTACGAATTCAATTTCACCTGCACCCCCTACGTCATTCTAATAAAATTATCTTCAATTTTTTTCCAACTAAATCTGTCGTGAATTGGTGAACTAGGATAAGTGCTTTTTTTTCGAAGGAATTTTGGTTTGCCAAATTGTTTTCACTAATTGTTGGGAAGTGATTAAAAAAAAGTTTTCGAAAAAAATGCGCTTATCCTAGTTTAACAATTCACGACAGAAATACACTTCATTGGCAGAAGAAAATTGGAATTTTATGAACTATTGAATAGTAATTCTCAGCAGAGTAACATTGAATTGAACATTGAATTCGATTTAAGGAGGAAAAATCATGAAATTTCTATAAAAACTGATGGAAATCACGATTTTTTAGCTGTCGGGAGACAGGATTCCCCGACTTACTTGAAATTTCAATAAAAATGCAAAAAAAAATTGAATAAAATTCAGTACCAAATGACGCAGAATTTTTAATTAATTGAAATTTAAAATTTATTAATTGAAAAAATATGAAAAAATATTTTTATTCTCCAAATTTTCTGAAAAAAAAAATTGACTATCAACAATAATTTGTTCGAACATTAAATTTCCTCAAAAAAAAATCTCAAGGATTAATTTCCGTGCATGCGCACAATTCTCCGCTGCGGCGCTACTTTCTAGTTTTCATTGCGCAAATTTTCAGCAAAAGAAGAATTTTACAATCACCAATAAATCCTCCAAACTTCAAATTTCCAAAAAAAAATCTTAGTTAATTCCCAAAAATGAATACTTTCACTTTTTCATTGCGCAAATGTTCTGCGCGGCCCAAAAAAATGAGCAATTGTGCAATAAAAAATAAACCCTCCGAACTTCAAATCGCCTAAAAAAAATCTCAACAATTAATGTCCGCGCATGCGCAAAACTCGCCGCTGCGGCGCTACTTTCCCGCGGCGTAGTGAGACGCTGGGGCGAACCTCAGTAGTGCGCAGGGCCCGACGAGCCAAGTTGTGTTGGCTAGACGATGGATTAAAATCCCGTGGTGTTAGAGTGTTTGGTGAGAAAGTATCCGCGGAATAAAAACCTCCGGTCTCGCAAGAAATCCCCGTGAACAGTTGAACCACCCCTAGGATATAAAATTAATGTGGCCAGTGAAGTGACGGATTAACCGGGCTGTTCTCACTGAAAAGTAAGTAACAACACCCTAATTGTGATGATAATAACCCGTGTGATTGTTGGGATGGGATGCGGCGAGTCGCCCCGTTAAAAATGGCCGTTCCTTCATTTACTCGTGTTTTTTTTTCGCCTCACGATTGATTGAGAGGAGCGAATGCCCGTCGAGAGCCCGGAAATCCCTCCCCTAAAATCGGAAATTGCCCCACATAAATCCCCGCCGAGGAGCATTCCCCGGCCCTGGGCATTCTCCGGGAGAAAATAAATTATTCCGCGACAAGAGGAGCCGGAAAATCCCCGGGGAATGAGAGGGCCTTTGACATTGAAGTCGATTAGCTGAATTTTATCATTCGCGATGGGGGAAAAGTAGCGGCGATTCACCTGTCAAGCCGCACCGTCCCGCCGGTGACCCAATTCTGCGTCTCCATTCCACTGATGTACCATTGTTGTATCCCCCGGACAACTAGTCAAGGGATCTATAACGTCCTGAGGTGTTTTCCGAAGGTGAATTGAGATTTATTCGAGTTTATTTCGGTTGGATAGGGATTCACTGGAGAATGAGGACATCGAAGGATTCGATTTAAGCGAATCTAGGGGTGATTAGCTATTTCTAAGTCATGTGCAAGCTACTCTGCACTTGAGAGAAATTCGTACCGGTGATTTTGCGGTCCTTAGAGCTTGAAAATTGAATTTTATGCGACAAAATTTAATTTTTTGCGACAAAAACTCCCTTGATATGAACTCGTTGAAACTGAAATTGAAGATTCTGGAGATCGGCAGAGTGAATTTGCACGATTTTTTTTTTCATTTTCAAGGTTTTTTTTTAGCTTTAAAACGACGCTTGACTCGTCGAAATCGCACCATTGGTTCGGCAGTTATCTGAAATTTCAGAAGCTTCATTTTTTTGAGTGAGAAATTTTTATAATTTTCTGAATGATTTTTGAGGGCCGATATCTTCGGATCGGCAGAGTGAATTTTGACGATTTTTTCTCATTTTCAAGGGGTTTTCTTAGGCTTCAAAATGAGCCCTGACATGTCGAAATCGTATCGTTTAGTCAGGAGATATTGAAGAATAAGAACTGCCACTTCCCATTTACACACACCGTTGAATTTCCAGTGAAGTGATTCACGTTCTGTTAATTGTTCAATTATCTTCACAACGAATAGATACAGATAAAAATGTCACATACACTTTTTGTAGGAAATTTCATCATCTAAAAAAAATGTCTGATCCCATTTCCCCCAAAACCCACTCATTACCGAGATAATTCCGTTTTTTCCACTTGACTATTGATTTCGTCCCCAACGAACGGGAATTATTTTCGGCCAATTTCGAACTTGACACTCGCCAATGAGGCATTGTCACGAGTTATTATTGTCGATGATACAACCACATTATAAATTCTCCCCCGAAATTTGAGGTCAGGCAATCGATGGCCCCCCCGAGGGCTCTAATGAAACGATCGAATCCATTAAAAAACTGTTTGGCTGTATTTTTTGTGGGGTATCGTGTGTTTTTATCGTCTGACGTTTGTGTTTGACAGATAGATGTCCTCGTGGCCCCTCCCATGGCCCAGAGGTTACTCACATTCCCAGAATTTCCGGGCGAAAGTCAAGATGTTTACTATTACGTCAGTCTACTTGTCTCGCCCGCTGTTATTCCAATTTTGGAATTAATGAATACGGGTGGATCATCATTAACGGTATTTTAACGCTCCTTTCGTTCTCAATGGTCATTGATGAAATTTCTCATCAATAGCTTTGCCTTTGGCGATAACGACTGAACTTGTCATAAAGATTAGAGGGAATGAGTTTTTTTCTCGTAGTCTTGACAATAAATTTTTGATTACTGAAGATTGATTTCCGGGAAAAATCTCGTTATCTGTGGGTGATAACGAAATTTACGTTAAAACATTTTTTGTAGAGAATTCCAAGAGCTACAAAAAAGCTATTCACACAAAGTTTGATATTCCCCGTAGTTATGGTGATATTTGGAAAAAACTAATGTTGAAAATCAACTCGCCAATTTTTACAAGCGATTTGGCGATTCGTTTTTGGGAAATATCTCGTTATTTATGAGAGACAGTGAAATTTTTATGAGAAATCGTTCCGTTGCTTTTAAAATTCTCTACGAAATTGACCTTCACAAAAATTCTGCTATCTCCCTCAGTTTCTGAGATATTCATCAAAGCCTAAAATAAAGGATGACTCATCATCTGTTTTTACAAGTGTTTGAAAGATTACTTTTCCAGAAATATCACGATATCCAGGAGAGATGGTAAAATTTTTATGAAAACCTTTTTTGTGAAAAAATTTACGAGCTGCAAAAAAGTCTCCATCAAAAAT